TCTCCAATTTCCCTCTCCTCCCCAATATCCCCCTTATCTCTTCCACGAATCTCCATCTCTTTCTTTCTTCAACCTCCCCCATCTCTCTCCCCCACCTCTCTCTCCAATCTGCCCATCTTTCCCCACTCTCGCCCCTATCTCTCCTCCTCCCTCCTCCTCCCTCCACCCCTCTCTCCTCCTCTCTCCACCACTCTCTCTCCTACTCCCTCCACCCCTCTCTCTTCTCCCCCCCTCCGTGACAAAACTAACCAGTGGTCACTCTCCACAGACTGGTGTGGCTTGCTGCTATACTGGGTGTGGCCTCCCTGGTCATCTTTGAACTGGTCCAGGTGATGAGACAACGGCAGACCTACAGGTAGGCTCTACTTGTACAAAGACAGACCTACAAGTAGGCTCTATATGGTGGCTTTTAACCCTATCCGTACGTCGTGTTTTACTATCGTATCCATACGACGTGGGGAACTCTGTTCCACCACTTAACCATATCCGTACGTCGAGTTTTACTATCGTATCCATACAACGTGGGGAACTCTGTGCCACCATTTAAACACAAGGGGGCTATCCCAAAAAATGCTGTTTTGGGAAAATCGAAGGTAAAGTTTTTGGATCTTTGTTCAGTTTCTTTAAAAGACAAGGAGAGTTTTCTCTATTACGAAACAAATATAAACACCACTGAAACCAAACTTCTCCTATTGGTGGGGCAATGCCCACTTTTGGTGTAGGTCAAGATTTCTGGAAACCCAAAAAATCTGGGTTAGTCCGCTTGTCCTTAAAAGTGACCACATGTACAACGACAGACCTACATGAGGGGGCTCTCGTGGTCCAGAGGTTAAGGTGTTCGCTTCCCATTCGGTTCGAATACGGATAGCGACGGAAAATTTATTCTCTAACAATGTTCTGTCGTCTGCTTTCGTCTCCACTTTCTGACTCCACCCCTCACCTCCTTTGCCCCCTCCTCTGGGCTCCTGACTCTTTCTGCAGCCTTTCTACTGCTTCTACTTAGCTCCTTCTTACTACTGTCTTTCATCCACACCCCTGATATTATGGTTGGTAAGATCTCCACCTAGCCTTCACCTTCAAGCGCGAAAAATCTCGGAGGTCCCGTGTGCAAGTTGTGCACGGTAAAGATCCCTTGCTGGTCCAAAATTGATATTACTAGGCTACGGCCGCCACTCGGGCAAAGTTCAAAATTTCCTTCCAACTGAAAATGTTTGGTGAGTCCCGCGCGCTCAAAAATGACGTCACCACTGTCTGTGTTCCCCAGTTTTTCAAGCAGCATTAGGTCCCAGCCAGAGGAACGCCTGCCTTTTCCCGCCGTGACTGTGTGTAATCTGAACCCGTACAACCCAGCACAGATAGCCGACAGTCTAGCTGCCAACCACTCCGCTGTGCTGAGGGGCTTTTTGCGGGAGGTAGGAGAAGTGTGTGTGTGTAGGTGTGTGTGTGTGTTTGTGTGTGTTTGTGTGTGTGTGTGTGTGTG